TAAGTTACGCCAGCGTTCTTGAGGCCGAAGGGCATAACTTTGTAACAGTACAGCCCCCGATCTGTAACAAATGATGTATGCTCTTCGTCCAGCGTGTACATCAGAATTTGATTGTATCCCGAGTACGCGTCCATAAAACTAAGCAGCTCGTGCCCTGAGGTGGAATCCACTAGCTAGTCGATCCTAGGCAGGGGGAAGCTGTCTTTTGGGCATGCTTTATTGAGGTCGGTGAAGTCAACGCAAGTCTGCCATTTGCTGTTAAGCTTCTTTACTAGAACCAGGTTGGCAACCCAGGTCGGATCCATTTCGGAGGAGGTTATCCATCTCAAGCTTTAAGGTAGCATACCACTCTGGATCCAGCGCTCTTCTTTTTTGGTGAACTGGCTTGGCTTCACTGTCGATGTTTAATGCATGACAAACAACATCCGGGCTGATCCCGACCACATCCGCATGCGACCATGCGAACACATCGATGTTCTCCCTGAGGAAGTTGGTTAGTTCGGTAGCGAGCTGGGGATTGAGATTCCTCCCAATCCTTAATATTATGTTCGGCTCGCTCTAGTCGACCGATAGTTTAGACAGATCGTCAACTGGCCCATTGGAAGGGCATTCCTGAATACGAGGATCCATATTATCCTCAACTGGACCAGGTTGTGGCTTGATCCGACTGATCGCCATTGCCTATCGAGGAATGCCGCAGGAGATACTTTTCCCTTTGCACGCCATCTGCACTGCTTTCTTATAACAGTCGCGAGCTTCGCGCTGAGATTCGCTGACTTCCCCTATCCCCGTCGGGGTGGGGAACTTCATCTTCAGATGGTATATCGAAGTGACTGCCTTGAATTTTCTTAGCAAAGGTTGCTCCAGAATACCATTAAAAGCGGATGAGCAATCCACCACCAAGAATTCAGTTACCTTGGTCACTTCGTCAAAGTCACCCAATGTGACTGGGAGTAAGATCATTCCTTTGGGGATCAGGTGGTCCCCTGTAAAACTGTAAAAGGGGAACGAGGCGAGCTTCAGATCGGCCTCGTCCAAGTTCATTCTTTCGAAAGTTGATTGGAACAGGATGTTCACAGCACTTCCGTTATCCACCAACATTCTGTGGGTGTTATGGTGCCCTATTAGGGGCGTGATCACTAAAGCGTCATCGTGGGGATGATGTAATCGAACTGCATCCTTTTCGGAGAAGGTAATTTCCTCCTCCCTGCGAACCTTTTGTGGTCACCGCGTCATGCTCATCACACTAATAGGGTCATGATGAGCTGCGCGAGCATACCTCTCCTGGGTGCCTTGCGAGTTCCCTGCGAAATGTGGTCCCTCAAAGATCAAATTGAGGCTGCATACCCCTTTGCGATCACGACACTTTGTTCTTGGTTCCCTTTCATCAATATATTCCTTGAAATGCCCCTGCTTGATGAGGTCTTCGATTGCCTTCTTGAGAGCTCGGCACTCATTAGTGTGATGCCCATTATCCCGATGAAAGTGACAGTACTTTTTACTATTCCTGGCTGATGGGGGATTTTTCATGGGCTCAGGCTCTCCGAACAGGCTGGCTTCTTCTGACTTCTCGAGAATGGCCGATACAGAAGCATTCAAAGGAGTATACTGATTTCTGTCGTGATTGCGACGAGGAACTGGAGCGTAAGACTTTTTGGGCTTGTAGTGCGGTTTCTTTCCCATTCGCTGATCGTCAGTAGCCCATTTGCAATCAGCTCTCCTGCTCTGAATTTTCAATGTGGAGGTACTTCTCTACAAGATTATAGAAGCGGATGAAGGAAACATCATCCTCAGCATGTAACTCTTTCCACATGTCGGTTTGTGGACAAACTTCCGCTATGATGAGAGTCCGAACAGACTCTTCGGGAGTGTGAGCTACTTTATTGAGTTCTCTGTGGAATCGATCGATGTACGATTGGAGGGATTCATCCCTCTCTTGACTTATATTGCTGAGATAGCTCAAAGGCATTGAGAACTTTCGGTTTGCTTGGAAGTGCCTCAGGAACGTCGTGCTCATCTGAGGCCACGAACTAATCGATCTCGCTGGGAGCGACCTAAACCATCGTTTGGTGGGAGCAGTTAGAGTTACTGCCAAACAATGGCACTTCACCAAGTCTGAAACCTAGTGAAGCTCCATCAGGTCGTTGAATTCATACAAGTGATCCTGCGGATCAGAATTTCCATCGAACGCCTGCATGTCAGGCATCCTAAATCTTGATGGGAGTGGGGCGGTTAACACTGCTGGAGAAAAGGAGGACGTTGCTGTGACCTGCCCTTGCTCATTTTGCTGAGCTTTTAGTTGATCAAGAGCTCGCTGTAGCTCTTCGATTTGAGGTAGCGGTGCTACCTGGGGATTACTTTTCGCAACGTGTTCGACTCTCACAGTTACGGTTGAGGAATGACCGTAGGTCGGATTCCCTTTCACCTCTATCGGCAATCCCGGCCAATCTTGACACATGCTGGCTAGAGCCGTATGATGGTGTCGGATGGTGTAGGGAACTTTCACGATCTCCGCGGTGGTACGAACCGCCCCGCGAAGTGTGGAAACTTCCCGCACGATGACGACCAGGGTCGTTTTTTTGGCAGTGATAAGAATCGACCCGCCCAGCACTTTTATGGGGGTGTGTATGCGACGTGGTATAGGATGGCTCCAGCTATGATTTTTTGCCGAGTCTTAGCGCCAAGGGTATTCTGCCAGGGAAGTGGTTGGTGTTCGTCGGCCCTTTGGAGCCCTCAGGCCCACTTTTCGCCACTTACTTACCCTTCCTTCGACGCGCTACAGTGCTCGCGGTGCGGGCTATCCCCCTTTGTCGTGCTTTCACGCAACTTGCAGGCGTTTTTGGTGGTTGCACTGCCTCATTTGATTTGGGTGACATGCCCTGGTCTAAACGGTCTAACCTTCGGTTGACCTTCTGGAGAGTATTATCGAACCTCTCCAGGTAGTTTCTGATGACAAGGTCAAGTTGTGAACTTGAGGGGATGTCCCCCACAACATTTTGCGGAACCGAAGGTACCCCGAGGGAGGTGTCTTGCACTTGGGGGATCCCCCCAGTACCCTGATTGGTCTGCTCAGGTTCAAGTCGGCTTGCCATTTGCTATTGTAGGACCCATAAGTTAGAGATTCTCTTGATGAAGGACGAATGCTAAATCAGGCCCCTCCTTCTAGCCAAACTGTTGATGCATGATTTTGACACCAACGAAACGCACGTGTGAAACGCTGAGATGGTCCAGGAGACACACGTGAATGCAAGAAAATGGGAGTAAATGCAGTGGGAAAAGCGTTTTAAAGTGGTTCGGATGCTAAGGAAGCAAGTCCTACGTCCACTGATGTTCGTATTAATGATAGAGGTCAGGTCGCGTTAGCTGACTGACTTACAAATGATAGTACAAGGTAAAGAATGCTATATTTTCTTGAAAGAGAGTGGCCAATCCCTTAAATGAGAGGAGAGCTCTCAATTTATAGTAGGATAGATTAAGGTTATCATTATTGAATCTATGAGTTAGTGGGATTATCCGTGCAAATCCTTCTTTATGTCCCATTGCCCACCTTCCAGAGCGATTTACGAAATTTGGTGCAGGGATTAGACACGTGGACATCCTCTCGCCTTTCTCCAATCTGGCGCGCACCCACTGTACTGACAAGAGTGTGCTGCTTGCATCATCACACGACGCAGCTGCGCCAAAATGTCAGTGGGACCTTCCCGAGGCCTGACCACTCGCACTGGTTAGGCTCCACGTCAGCCCTATATTTTCAGGCATAACACATACATATGAAAATTCCTAGGTACAGTGTCCCTATTTATACATATAAACGATTGGTTGTTTTTTATTTTGTATTTTGAGAAGATGATGATGAATTGTTCACCTTTGATTTACATGTTAAAAATTTTAAGATAAATCCGAGAAATTAATTTTATATAAAACTTCCAGATGTTTGCATTAGAAAATGTAACACATTTTCCCATACCAATGTGATAACAACAACAAAATGCATATGCATAAATAGCAATATGAACTCTGAAGCTGGTGATAAAGCAACATCAAAAACTTCGTACCGAGGATGTCTCTGACTAAATCAACTAGTAATTGTAATAACCCCACCAAAAGTTGACTTCTAATTAATTGTAGAAATCAACTGATGGTGGCCATATAAAATTGCTCGCTAACTGATTCTGAAACTTGCTCAGCACTATATTTACCAACTTCAGATTGCTATAAATCAATCAATTTTCATGACTGCTAGCGCCATTAGTAAAGCTGTGTTCTCTGTGTAAGCTAAAGCTAGAGAGATGGCGCTTGAACATATCAGCCACAAGCACACTCTAGTCTTCAATGAAGACCTACAACAAAATGAAAAACTTTCTTGCTTCGGGTGCAAGGAACCAATTTCTGGCCAAAGCTACAGCTGCAAAGAGTGCAATTTCTTCCTCCACAAAGCTTGTGCAGAGCTTCCTCGCCAGATTAAACACACATTTCATCGCAAACACCCTCTTATTCTTCAAGAAAATCCTCCACATAATGATTTTCCATGCTTGTGTGATTCCTGAGGCAATATCTGTGGGAGTTTCAAGTATCATTGTTCTCTCTGTAACTTCAATCTTGACAAGAAATGTGCTTTGCTTCCCTGCGTTCTTGAACCTGCAAAAAACAATCACCAATTTATCTGGTTGTTGGACTTCAGAATCCCATATAATTGTGATTCTTGTGGTGGGGATGGCTTCTATGATTCTTACGCTTACTTATGTATCATATGCCAAGTCCTTGTCCACTATGATTGTGAGTCATTGTTACCAATATATCCAACAACTGCGATAAGAATACACGATCATCCACTCATCCACACATTTTTCATTCATGAAAATGAATCCGGAAAGCAATATTGTGGCATCTGCAATGATGAGATTCTTACGGATCATGGATGTTACTTTTGCTCGCAATATAGTTTTATTTCCCATGCAGGCTGCGGATTTGAAATATTCCTTTATGAATGTAAAACTATGATGGCTCAGTGCAATGCAGAGGAATCTGTAGATCACTGTGTGATAGAAAAGAGCACCAGAGTTGAACCCATGGACTCGATCAATTATGGGATAATCGAGATGAAAATTGAAGATGACTCGACAGCTACGGAGATGGAGATTGATAAGTTTAGTAATGCACATTGCCATCTCAAACATATTAGCCACAAGCATCCACTGGTCTTCAATGAAGAAGAGCAACAGAATTATAGTTACATCAAGGAAAATTCATGCTTCGGATGCGAGGAACTAGTGTTGGGTCCAAGCTACAACTGCAGCCAATGCAATTTCTTTCTTCACAAGACTTGTGCAGAGCTACCGCTCAAGATTAAGCACCCATTCCACCGCAAACACCCTCTAGTTCTCATTCTAGACACCTCGAATGTTGGTTGGCGCCGCCCAGCCTGTTTTTTCTGCAACGAAAGTTGCCGAAGGTTTGCATATAGTTGCTCTAATTGTGCTTGTTACCTCTACATCAAGTGTGCTACGCTGTCTTGTGTCATTGAACCTGAAGCTCATGAGCATCAATTCATTCACTGGATGAGGGCCATTCCATTCACTTGCAATGCCTGCGGTGAAAAGGAATCAGAACAAACGCCTTATTTTTGTACCGCGTGCCAAGTCAAGGTCCACAAAAGCTGCATTTCGTTGCCACATAGTATCAAAATAATTCAGCATAATCATCCCCTTCACCGCAACCATTTCTTTCATGAAAATGTGTCGGCAGGCTCTCTGAATTGTGGAATTTGTGAGAAGGAAGTGAATTCTGAATGTGGGAGTTATTATTGTCCTGACTATTGCAATTTCATTGCCCATGTGAGCTGCGCATTGGAGTTCGAAGATAAAGATCAGAAATGAGAAGGCCTTGTATCAATCTCAAGGATTATTAACAGGCAGATCTGAGTAGTGCAATGCAGGAAATGCAACTAGTCTTTGGTTAAAACTCCAAAAGAAAATGTATTATAATTTCTTGAAATAAAATAAAAGGAATTGGCTATCTATTCCGATCAATTGAACAATCACAAAATTGTGCACAACACAAAAAACTACAGAAATAAAAATAAACAAAATATATTCACAAAAAAAATATATATACATATCTTCACTGGACAAATGTATGAATACCCGTCCAATCATAAAGCACGTATACATTGATGTTCTTCCTTTCAAAACATGCCCCAAATCGCCTAGCCCGATACAACACCCAAAACAACCTCTCACACTCCCAAAACCAGGTAGATAACCAAGAAACCCTCAGGTTCCTGATTACAAAATCAGTCACACACAGGTAGAGATTCGAACTTAAAATCTTGAACTCTGATTTACACCGGATAAGAGGTGAGAGCAGTAATTTTGGTTGAAAGGGTGTTGTATCCGGCGAGACGCTTCAGTGCATGTTTTGTTGCTCGCATCTTGAGCAATGCAATACCTTGGACTGAATCAAATCGTTCGTGTTAATGATTTATAGAACAGGCCAAGAAAATTCAAGCCTGAGAGAGTATAATTGAAACAACATATTGGATCCTTAATTCAAGGGACTAAATCAAATAAACAAAAGGGATCGGCTGTGTTGCAGGGAGGAATCTTAGAAATATTAATAGAAAATCCCATTTGTAATATAAATTACACATTATATATTATACTTTCAATGTGATGAAACCCTTTTAACGTAATAAACAAAATTATATTTTGTCAGAAGATTATGCAGTCACCATGTGCAGCCTCTCGAGGTCTTGGCATTACTAGCTGTCATATTAAAGTCAAAACTAATTGTTTAAATTTCTAATAAATATAGCAAGCAGTCTATTTTATATTTCCTGGTTTTACTCATTCTTTTCCACAGAAAAGGATTTAAAAGAAAAAAAAAAACATTCATGGAGACAAATCAACATTAAAATTAACAAGAATATGAACATCTCCATTAAAGGAAAATATATTTAGAAACAATTTTATCATACACTGATCATAGCAAGGTTTGTTCCTGATATTCAAAACAAAACCACTAGATTAAGACTTGAAATTATTTGCATCAAATTAAACTAAAGAAGAAAGATTAAACGAAGCCATCATTTTGGCAAGTTCCTGAGCCATTTGCAATTCATGTTGAAGCCTTTGCAATTCAGTCTGAGCATTAAGTACAGGATCTTCTCTATTTTCTGCCGTCACCTCGTCAGATAAGCGATTCTGGGAGGCCCCAGAAACACTTCCATCTACAATTGCACAAGAAGTATGCACATGAAAGTTACAAGCAAAACAATTATAAGACCAAAATTTTTGGTCCAACAATTTGTGACAAACATCACAATTATAACATTCATTATTTGGCTGAGGCAAACCATAGCTAAGGCAAAGGCCATGAAAATGCGCTTCACGTTTAATATTTTCAGGCAAGGAAGCGCATTGGAGATGGAGATCAAAGTCACACAAGGGGCAACAGAAGGAGAAGGAATTGCCGCGGCCGGCGCGGCCACAGGCGTTGCAGATGAATGAGCCAGCGGAGTAGGTGGTGGATGGGAGGAGGGTGAGGTGGTGCATGGGGTGTGATTGGTGTTGAATTGCTCTTTGTGCGTTCCCGCAATGTTGATGGAGGAAGAACATGCATTGAAAGCAAGCGTAGGCGGATCCTGAGATGATTGATTCACATCCTGAACAAGTGTATGTTTCAGGATTTTGATGAGGAAAATTATAAATTCTCAAATTATGTGGGTGGCTAAAGTGCTTGAACTCCATGTCTTTTTTTTTTTTTTTTTCTTTCTGTAAATTGATGGTTTAGGAGACGTAAGTTAGAGGATTTATAAGCTTAAGTTCTTGAATTATTCAAAGGGTTCAAGTCAAGGTTCAATAATGTTAGAAGAGTTTTCATGTTAATGGTTCCTTATTGGAGGTGAAGGGAAATGAGATCAGTATATAAACTCAAGTTGTTGATGCTTAAGTAATAGTTGGTGAAGATAATTGTTTAAGTTGATATTGAATCTGTCTTAAAATTTGACCTGATTACTTATATAGGGGCGTTTGGTTAAGGATGATGTGAGATTACTAGGGTTGTGTTATTTTATATTACTTGATTATCACGTTTGCTTGTCAAGTAATATAAGATTCTAACAATCTTCAAATACCAATAGTAGTTACTGTTGATAATATTGAAGGTAATCCAATTACCTTCATTTTCTTAGGTATTGTAAGATTATCAAAGTAATCTTGTTTTAATTACAATTCTATCCATTATTAACAAAATTTTAGGATAATAATACCCTTATTTTTAAATTAATTTACATAAATACTGCTTTTACTATTTCACCCAAATTAATTAATTTTTTGAACAAAATTACCCTTGAATTCAAAACAAATTCCAACCCACCCAAGGCACCACCCCCACCTGTCTGCCGTCATCAGCTACCGCCGTCGGAACGATGCACGGAAGGTCAAAAATGGCCGTCATGGGCCGATATGGCAATTTTCGGTCATAGATATGGCCAGATCTAATATGGTCGTTTCTGGCGAAATCCGTCGATCTGGCCGTCAACGGCCAGATCTAATCTAGTTGTTTTCGGCCAGATCGATGGCCGTTAACGGCCACGTCTGTGTTGTTAACGACCATCGATCTAGCCGTTGGATCTAGTCATTTTTTAACCAGATTAGATCTAGCCGTTTTCCAGCCAGATCTATCACGATCTGGTTGGAAATGGCCATACGGCGCAAGGAGGCCATTTCCTGCCTTTCGTGCGCCGTTAGGTTGCCGGCGGCCGGCGGTGGTTGCCGACGGCCGACAGTGACTGGGCTAGTGGGGGTGCAGTATTGATTTTCCAAACTTTTATTATGAGGTTGTTTTTGCTATGTTTTTAAATGTAGACGGGCTAAAATAATCCAAATAATAATATAAATAACAAAATAATATAATAATAATAATAATATTTAATTAGAGGACAATTCAGTTATTTAAATAACATACCTACCAATTTATTCTTTCCAACCAAACATATTAATATAACGTACCCATCAACTAACCAAACATATTAATATAACGTACCCATCAACTAACCAAACACATTTTCCTAAAAATTCTCAGTAATTTTCAAGGTAATCTAACTTTCTAGTAATCCAACATTCCCTGAACCAAACGCATCCATTAAGAAAAAAGAATATAAGTTTCTTTCTGATAAGAACTCACTATGTGTATTCAATTAGTATTAGGTTCTCATATCCTAATAGAATTTAAAAGATTTTGATATTACTCCTATAAATAGGTTCGTAGAGTTTATTGAAAACATATAGCCAAAGAAAAGTAGCCGAGGGAGTCAGAGCTAGAATACCATATTTGATAATTTTTCATATAAAAGTTATGGTGATTTTATAATTTCGAAGAGAATTTTGTTGTGTTTTAAAAACAGTAGAATTTCTCAAGTTAATATATATAATTCATGATTTGGCAAATAATATTACTAATAGAAAAATGCTATCCTTACAAAGACAATACAAAGAGAGCTACAAAGTGACATCACCAGGAAGGAAAAAACAAAGAAAAAACAGAAAAAGAGGGAGAGAGAGAGAGAGAAATCATGAAGATGAAGGGTGGAAATTGTCTTTGTATGGCCTCTTTGTTTTTGTCTTTGTAAAAGTAGTATTGCTCTTACTAATATTACCAGCTTTTAAATATGGTAATGTGAAGTGCTATATTAGCAAGATACAAAGTTGAGATATCCAACCACTCCTGCGTGGTGAGTGGTCATATCACTTAAAAGGTTTTAAGTTCGATTCTCCTCACTCTTTAATGGGGATGTCCACTAGAGGGTTTATCTGATCCTTAACTTCATTTCCCTAGATGATTAGTTAAGTTGTACGCAAACTGGTCTTGACACCTCTTGTCGCCAAAAAAAGTTGAGATATCTAACTTTTACAAATATATCATCTATCGTATTGAGCACTAATTTTTTCTGTCACATAAGTATTTTATTATCTATAATTTATCCTAACAACATTCAATATTATTGATTATTTTCAAATTTAAAATCTACATTACAGAGTATCATAAATTCATTAACTTATTGTATCAATAACATCATACATAGTTGTAGCAAAAGACTCTTTCAAAATTTAATTACATATATATCAAGGAGAAGGCTAGGTCCATGAAAATAAATTTCCCCACTTTTTATTGATCAAAGCTTAATCATGGAAAAGCTTGTAGTAGATGCTTTATAGTCACGATGTTATAATACTTCAATTGGAAATTAAGAAGCATTGACTCGGAAGAAATTAAAGTTGTGGGATGTTTGGCATCATCCACAATTGACTTTTGAGCACAACTGGTTAGCCCCTTAGCTAAGCATAATCTTGTAAAGTACTATTATGCACCGATCTTATATTATTACTTTAGCTTTTTTGAACATTGACTTTATGGAATATTGTCATCAATCACCACATTGCTCTTCCACTCTCTTTCTTTCTTTCTTTTTTTTTTTTTTTTTTTATCAAATAAAACTATATATCGAAATTTGGAGTTAAAACACGAGGTTTGATATGTGAAATAATAATCTTTCTTAAGGTTTCTGTAATAACAGAAATTCGTTTACCAATTGTAAATAGTTAGTGCGTAGTTAGAACTTACACTTTTATAAGTAGATAAATATTTGCTGAATTTTCTTCGTACCTTATATTTTTGGTATATTTTTACATTCAAAAGTTAATAGTATTTGGATTTGTGTTATTTTAGAAATCTCAAGAAGATTAATGTTGTTAATTTCAAAATTTATCGTAGTGATACTCTCATCCAAAAGGTGAAAAGGGGATACGCGTTACTTCTTACACTATAGTAAAAAGTTTAGAACCCACTTCACACAACTAAACCAGAATCTAAAGTTTTATTTTAATTAAAAAAAAAAAAAAAGCGTGTATATATATGCTATTGAGTTGGTTGTTTACCAAATTAATCGCTTTTTAATATCAAAGGTTCTTGTTTTTTCATTTTATTTTAATTTGATTCCATTCAACCATGTAATAGAGTCTGGTGGCTGCCTTTTTTGGCTGAAAGCATGCCCTTTTTAATGTTGGTTTTGGTCGTAAGAGAATTATTTCTACTTTGAACCTGACCCAAGTACATCCTTTTTGAAGAGATTGTGTTTGCCATTATTTTCTATCTCTTTTTCCCTGAAAAAAAAAAAAAAAAGAAAAAAAACTAAAAAGGAAGAAAAATATATTTTACTTTATTGATATGAGATTCTTAAAATAGATAGTTCTAAACTCCCCTAACCTTTTGTACATATCAAATGCACGCCTTATATCTCTGAAACTTTCAATGAGATCATCTATAATTTATCACTAGGCTCCCTTAAGGTTTTACTCTATTAGGGGACATTACAGATAATTAAGAAAATTATAATTATAATATGAAATATAAACTTTTAAAAAATATCAGTACATCAATGCTAATGTAAAATTACCAAACACAATTTTCTTTTATATCATTACAAAATTTTAAAAGATAAACACACCAAAACATTTGAACTCTCCCAAAATAATACAAGTTAATTTAACTTTTGTCACAAACGCAAATATTGAAAACTTCACATAAACTTCAAGCAACAGGTCATTTTTTAATATCTTCAACCTATATATCCAAGAGTATTGAATCCGGATAATGTAAAGTTCCTCCGATTCGGAACAAGCTCGTAATTCTACAATCCAACATACCCTAAAGTATTGATGGACGAATTCATCAGTTCAAGTTGTTGATTATATAAATCAACTCGAGTTTCAGAAGGGTATCCAGATGATGTGATATTATCTCTGTAATGGAATAATCCAGGATGGTGATGCATAGCAGGTTCATTAACAAAGCTTGTATGCTCAGTACGGAAAGTTTTCCGATCACGAATCTTGTTACTTGCACAAGAAGCATGAACATGGAAATTGCATCCATTGCAATTATATGTCCATAAATTGAAGTCCTAAACTTTGTGACATATATACCACAAGGATAATTGGCCTAGCCTCATGGTGAGGAAGAGCAAAGCTGAGGCTGAGCTCATCTGGGTAAGCTTCATGCTTATAAAAGTACTGAGACAAAAAAGAAAACAGAGTGTAAAGACTCTGAAACACAGAGTAAAAAGAAAAAAGTACTGGAGCATTTATTTCACTGAATCATCTCTGTCTTTTACGTCTACAATTTATAAAGAAAGCAAGTCAGGTGCTGTCCCCTGTTCTCTGAAATCTCAGCCGCACATTCTACAATCCAGAGTTTTTACTCTAACCATTGGATTTATTTACGTCAACTTGCATAACAATATCAGCCGCAACTTGTCAACTTGTTCAACTGATTTTGATCCACTTGCAGTTTATTTGAGAGAAATGCAGAAAGTGCTGATATCTGAGATTCGAAATCTTTAGTTGCTTGAGCTGAAGCTTGCTGCAGTTTACAATGCTTCATTGTTTGTGGCGACAAAGCACAATGAATATGAATATCAAACTCACAAAGTGCACAACAAAGGAGAAGGCGGTTCCTGGCGAGCCAAAGGCGTTGCAGGAGCAGGAGCAGGAACCGGCGGAGTAAGTGGTGGGTGGGGGAAGAGTTAGATATGGTGCAATGAGTGGGTAGAGTGTTGGAGTGTGGGGCTTGCTTTTGCACAATGCTCATGGAGAAAATATTGGCAATGTGCACAGCCGTATGCAGAGCCAGAGAATGAAGATTCACAGCTGGAGCAATGAACTTCTTGGCCTTGTGGAATATAATATAA